TATATATATATATATATATATATATATATATATATATATTCTAGAGGCCCAGTGCATGAAATTCGTGCATGGGGGAGGGGGAAATCCCTTAGCCCGGCCTGCGCCCTCTCGCAGTCTGGGGTCCCTTGGGGTATGTCCGACTGACAGCTTAGGCTCGCTCCCCGTCACCACTGCTGTGCTCACCAGCCATGAGCCCGGCTTCTGGCCAAGTGGCACTCCACCTGTGGGAGCGCACTGACCACCAGGGGGAAGCTTCTGCATTGAGCATCTGTCCCCTGGTGGTCAGTGCACATCACAGTAATCGGTCGTTCTGGTCATTCCGCCACAAAAGTCGCTTAAGCTTTTATTATATATATATATATTCCTTACACACAGACATGCTTAGGACATGCTTACAGAGATGAAGGGAAAAAGGAAGGGAGGAAGGAAGGGAGGGATTCATTCTGGTCATGGATATGGACTTTAAAGGCTACAGGCTTCAAGTTGTTCCAGAAGCTAAGAAAACTCTCTTTGAAATTAGAAATCTAGAAGCTTACTAGTGGTTAAGTATTGGGCCTTTCATTTTAAAGTAGAAATTTGATATCAGCATAACATTTCAGCCAAGTAAGATTAATGACATTTTTATGAAGCTGAATATGATTTTTTACCTTTTAGGTTACAAAACTTTTTTCAAGAGACTGTAACAAGATTTTCCCCAAGATTATGTTTCTAAAATTTCAAATCACAGGCTGGAGTGTAAATATCACCTTCAATGCATGCTTGTGCTTCCTTCAGCTTTGTATCTTTAGCAATCAATAACAAGCATGACAGCTGCCCAAACTCCTAACTTTAATTTGCGGTACAGAAAGAAATAGCAAAGGCTGTCCATTTTCATCAGATTCTTCTGATTTGACTGTTGTTGCACTAAAAAGTGAAAAAAAGGAAAGCTTAGAGTAACGGGATGTCGGAAGTTAAATTTAAGATATTTTGGCAAATTATTCCCACGTTATCATTATAAAATAGAGAATATAAATACCTCTTGTTAGAAACTCATCCATTTTCCCACTTTCATCTGCTCTCAGACCCTTAAAACCCCGAACTTATTAGCAATGATAGTGAGCAATATGACATATCCAGGAAGAAAACTTTAAGCAATTTCTTAAAAACCTACTCAAACTCAACCAGTTTTTTGTTTTTATAATATGTTCGACATCTTTTAAAACCATTCATGTTTTGAGGATTTCTAATATTATATTTATACAATTATTTTAATTTATTAATTTTAGAGAGAGGGGGAGAGAGAAAAAAAGGGAGAGAGAAAGAGAGAAGATTTGTTGTTCCACTTATTGATGCATTTGTTAGTTGATTTTTGTATGTGCTCTGATTGGGGATCAAACCCACAATCTTGTCATATCAGGATGACAATCTAAGCAACTGAGCTACCTGGCCAGGCCTATACAATTTTTACATCACAGTAATTAATGGTTAAAAATGTTCTTGGCTACTCTGTACTGTTTATGAACAAAAAAGCTATATAAAAAGACAAACCAGATCCTCACTATAGATTATTTTCCCACTCTAAACACCTTAATTAGGTTTACTCTAGGATTTTAAGCAGTTTTTCTAAATGTTTTTTCCTGATTAGAAATTATTGGGACTCTTATATTTGTATTTCTGTCCATTTTGATGATTTTTTTAAGTTGGCATTTAAAAAATTTTTTTAAAATATATTTTATTGATTTTTTACAGAGAGGAAGGGAGAGAGATAGAGAGTTAGAAACATCGATGAGAGAGAAACATCGACCAGCTGCCTCCTGCACATATCCCACTGGGGATGTGCCCGCAACCCAGGTACATGCCCTTGACCGGAATCGAACCTGGGACCTTTCAGTCCGCAGGCCGACGCTCTATCCACTGAGCCAAACCGGTTTCGGCTTAAAATTTTTTAAGATGTTTTTTATGGCAGTGATAGTTCTATAGGTTTCTACTACTTAAAACATGAATTAAACTGGTTAGGTTTTTTCATTACATACTGATATCCCTGGAAAAACTGCCCACATCTTAAGACAGTGGTTCTCAACCTTGGCTGCACATTAGAATCACCTGGAAATCTTTTTAAAATCCCGATTTCTGGGCCTCATTTTCCAGAAATTCTGTTTCTTTGTTACTAATGTTGTGGCCCCACCCCATAACAAAGAAACAGAATTTCTGGAGGATGGGGCCCAGAAATCAGGATTTTAAAAAGATTCCTAGGTGATTCTAATGCGCAGCCAAGGTTGAGAACCACTGTCTTAAATCTAATCTAACATATTTCAAATTGTAATGCAGATGTGAAATATTAACAGTTCATCAGAAAACGTAAATCTGACGGACTCAGACTATCTACTACTAACACTTTTTCACTAGAATAGAAACAAGAGTATAGAAACTACAGGAGTCAAAATAATGGCTCCCCCCAAATGTCCATGTTATAGAACTCAAAACCTGCGAATATGTTACCTTACATGGCAAAAGGGAATTTGCAGGTGGATTAAGTTAAGGATCATGAGATGGAAATGCTACTCTGAAATATCTAGGTTGATCCAATGTGGTCAAAAGGATTTTTGGAAAGGCAGGCAGAAGGATGAAGTCAGGGAAGGTGATGTAACAATGGAAACAGGTCAGGGAAATGCAGAGTTGTGAGGCAGAGCATGCAGGTAGCCTCTAGCAGCTGAGAGAGGCAAGAATAAATTTCCTCAGCTCCCAGAAGAAATACAGCCCTGCCAACGTTCATTTTAGCTCTGCAGATTCACTATATTTTTCATCTCCAGAACAGTAAGATAATAAAGCTGCATTGTTTTAGCCCATTCTGCGTGTGGTAATTTGTTACAGCAGCAATAGGCAGCTATGTCAGGGACTTTTAAAAGTCTTGCCTACTGCTCTATCCAAAGTACCTCACACAGAAGGTGTTCAACCAATATAAGAGGAATGAATGAACAAAATGTTTTCAGATTTGCCAGTGATGTGCACTGTGTACAAAATGTATATTTTCTCTAAAATAAAACTTGTGAAGTAATGTTCTTAGGATACAGAAGATTTAAAGGCCTGTAATCAGGACTGGACACTAGTGCTAAGCGGATGGTGAGAGAACTAAGTTACAGGCCGAATGAATGCCAACAATATCAAGCTACTAACTAACTCGAGAAAGTAAAACTCCTTCTGGAAAAAGGGAGAAATAAAGAGCACAGGTGACATTTTTCATTGCTGCTACCAGTTGAAACCTGTAACTAGAGCCAGCTATACAGAGGATGTGGAAGAGCAGATTTCAGTTTCTGAGCTCACAGTTTCTCACAGCTGAAAAAAAAGAGCTTTTATAAAGAAAAATGCTGCACTCACCTCATGCACGTCAAGAAGAATGTGCTGTAAATGAAATCCACTGACCTGATCAAAAAATTTTCAACTGGAATTGGGAAGGGAGCTAAAAATACTCAGCAGGAAAATGTCTTGTTTATTTAGTCCCCAGTGTCTAGTTTAGTGTCCAGAACGTAGTAGTTACTCAATAAAAGCATTTTAAAATAGGAACATAGGACATAAGTCTAGAGTTCAGAAACTACTTAGCAATTCTCAGGAATGAAAAAAACAAAGAGCCCAATAACAAAAGTATGGCAATGAAAATTTTATCTAAATACAATATGTTAAGGTTGGAAGTAATTCAGCCCTTCGTGATACTGATCAGAAAACCAAGGATCAGCAAGGTATGACTTGTGAGTGATTTAAGCATTACTGTGGGGAAGAGGGCCACTGCTCAGGAGTCCTGACTTCTCATCTATACAGCACTCTTACTAGCATATAATTTTGTCCCAACTCATCATGAGACAAAGCAAAGCAAGATTCACAACTAAAATATTGCAATATTAAAGTAAATGTGATTCAAAAATTATAGGTCTGCTAGAGAAAAAAAGAACAGGTAATATTTTTAGAAAGTCATTCAGAATGCTTATCCAATTTATAAATTTCAAAGATAGATTCTAAAGAATCAAAGCACCCCAGCTGTGTGTACCACCAACAGATGGTGTTACCATTGAGTGGTGTCACCTGTCCTTAGTTTACAGTGGATATGGGCTTCATTCTGAGTTGTTTCAGGAATATTATTAATCTCATCCTGACAAGAACAAAAGCAATTGAAAGGAGTAATAAAGAGACCTATGATTTCCATTAAAATGAAAGTAGAGACTCCCCCTCCCCCACCCCTACCCCTCTGCAAATTGAACATGAAGAGATGATGACAAATGTTATTACAGGTTGAGCAGCTGTACACTGGAAATGATTCTAAAGGAAAGGAATGAATCATGCAACATGTGCAAAATGCTGTGCCTATGTAGTCAGCTAAAAGCAAACTGCAAAAAAGGAAAGAAGATAGTAGATGAAATGTAAAACCTTTTCAGTGTGTCAGTTTCAATGTCAGATGCTAGTAAGCCTAATGAAGACGGCTGATCAAACTTTCATTGACTGTTCCAGAGAGTGCATTTGGAGATGCACAACGTCAAGTAAGAAGTAAGGCCCCAAATATAAATATATTCCCAAAAACATCTGTAGGGGTAAAAAGAAATAAGGGGTTAGCTTACCTACTTCAACCAACATTCTCTGTAGATAAAACTGACCTGAATTTGCAACAGGAGGCTGAAAGAAGGTATAGAAAGAAGAATCTGCCTTCATTCTAAACATCCAAAGATATTCCTGTTTAGCAGAAACACTACAGAGACTCCAAGCCCAAATCCTTTATAATGGCGTTGGCCATGCACATGCACTTACAGACCTGAGTCCTGTCTGGAAAGAGACAGCTTCCCCTCTTTAAATAAGTACATAAGTGGTGTACTGAGGGCCAGTGGCTAAGCAAGAAGAGTGTATGGAAACAAAGAATAAGGTAGTTTGGGCTGTTTTAATAATACATTCTTCTAGCCCAAGCATGTCAAACTCAAAGGCTAACATGGGCCAAATAAACAAGGTTTAAGTTTATGTGGGCCGCAAAAAAACAAAAGCTTCAATTTTCTTAGAAACATAGGTTTATTTCGATAGAGACATGCTGAGTACCAAGGGCTGAAATAAATGAGTAATCGTTAACATAAAATTATAGAACATTTAAATAAAAAATTAATATTTTTTTCTTGATCATTAACTTACCAGACACTGAATAACTGCACAAATTAGTAAGTGTAACGCAAACAAACCTATTTTTCTTGTTCTCCAAAAGTGCAATATTTCCTGTTGCGCACACCAAACAAGTCAGTCCAAGACTAATAACGTGCAATCGGCTGCTAAAATATTCGCTGCTAGTATTAGTGGAGAGAAATGGTGCGCCTGCCCATAAGGCGTGTAAGGGAAATGAATATGAATGCAACACGATTACAGTAATCAGTCATTAGCAAATGTTGTAGTTCGTTATTAATAATTATGTATAACAGAATATTATAAAAATTAATTTATGAAAATTTTATTAAAACATTTCTTACATACCATTATATTGGCTGAGATGCAAAAAATATTCTTTGTGGGCCGCATGTGGCCCATGGGCTGCGAGTTTGACATGCTTGTTCTAGCCATTGAGGCATCTCTGCTTTACATCATTTATTGTGTTGCTAGATGTATTAAACTCCAAGTTGCTATGGGTTGCTGATAGTTCTCTGGTTTGGGAGGGAAGTGGTGGTGGAGCAAGGGGTGTGATGAAGAGCTAGATATGAAAACATTTGATATTTTCCTTATTTCCAAACTCTCAGCTATATTCTTTGCCTTCTTCAGAGCAATCAGTACCTATCTGGTTTTGATCAAGCCACATCGACATGTTTGCTTCAAATACAACTGCTATCAGACCCTTTTCATCCCTTCCTACTTCAACAATATCATCAACAAAAGTCACAAACAGGTTCCAAGATGACTGCAGAGTAGCT